TAAATGGGTGCTAAAAACCTTTGGTGCATGCTTAAACTTGCTTCCTCTTTTCTCTTTAGCACTGATGACTCATTCTTGTGCAAAGGATGACTGCTAGTGTCTGGCAGTCTTTCTATGCATGAGGGCTTTAGTCATCATCTGTATTCATGGCATGGGCATTGCATGCAACTTGTTGACAAGTTAGGCAGAGTCAGCTGTAACCATGTCCACAACACCTTTGGTGTGTGACAACAGGCCCATAAGCACAATGCCACAACATATGGGAGGGCATGTGGAGAGTAAGGATGCTGCAACATATAGACAGGCCCATGACCAAGTAAGTATGCTGAGCTACTGTAAGACATGGACAGGCCTGTCCATGGTAGGGTGTGCCCCAGTCACAATATCAGGATGGGCCTGCCTATTGTATCATGAAGAAGGCTGCAACATAAAGATGGGCCCATCAGTAATATCATTTACAGGGTCACAACACATTGTGTTGCACAGGTCTCCAGCACACTCACCCAGGTCTGGTCCCAGTCCTCTGCCCACTCATATATTGCCTCTAAGCTCTCTTCAGGCTGTGGTGCTGTGTCGATTAGCACCCTAACATGCCTTAATGCTGCCGACAGCGAGGTGATGGCCTGGTCCCTCATGCTGCAAACTGGTCATGCATTGTGGATCAAGTAGGCTTGCATGGTGAAGGTTGGGTATGGATTGGGTAGTGGATGTGGGTGTAGCTGGGGCATGGATGTTTGATGAGTGGTGAGACACCTTCTGAGCGTGTTTAAATTCCACAGTGCCATCTTGTACAACGCAGAATTTCCCTCTGCACAAGGCAGAATTCTGACCATGCACCATCATTGTTACATAACATCTGCTGATATTCTGCACTTGTCTCTGTTGTGTCTTGGTTTGGTCTGACTGAGGACAGTCAGCATTCAAAGTTCCCAGGAGGTGTAGGGAGCCATATACTCCCTGAGGCTGGAACAGGAATCTGTCACTAAATTCTGCAGGCCTCTATGACAGACCCATTTCAGAAATTTTCCTGCTTGTGTCCTTGAGTTTCCTCCTGACCCCTGTCACCTTCGGAGTTTCTACTGCCCTTCAGCATGTCACTCAGTCATCAAAATGCTGATCTGGAAATTCTGCATTCGTGCAGAGTCACCTGGAATTCAGCAGCCATGCCACCACTCAGTCACATCACCAGTCATCCATGCCACTTACCTCTAATAAACTCTGGTTTCCCCTGTCACCCTAAATTTCACAAACTGGACTTTGTGCCAGTACACTATGCTCTGCCCCCCCTGTGCCACTCAGCTCCACCTCCCACTTGTATGCATACTCTCATTCTGTTGGAAGATACCCCTTACCATTGGTCCGTTCTTACTCTTGCTACCCACTGGACTATTTCATGTGCATCTGTACTTCACTGATGTCTGATGTCCATTCCTTTATTTTCTGGTCTTTTAGTTTTTCTGCCCCACCTTACTCCAACTTGTACCTGCTTCCCTTGTACTATATAATTCCACCATGATGTCAGAAATAGACCCACCCATCTTTTGGAGTCACTATCTGAGTCATTCACATATCTAAGTGTTCAAAAGTGTCTGCCACATACTCTGTGTCTACTGTGTCTTCTGTGTTTCTGTGTCTCACCTCCATGTCTCACAAGTCTCAGAATTACTTCTTTGTGCCAAGGTTGTAACTCAGCATTTCATATACAAGTCTACTCATTCCCAATTTGCCTACATCTCTGTGGAATTAAATTCCATGCCCCATATTTGACTCCTCAATTGACCCTACCACCATATTCTACATCTCCTTCCTACTCAGCACCCCTTGGGTTGAGCCTAGGGATTGCCCTACAGCTTCTCCCCCCTAATCCATGCTGCCCAGAGGTAGTGTCCCACAGCACCTTCTCTGCAGACTTCTCTTGCTCAGTGTTGGTGGAGTCATTTGTCAGGACAACCAGCTCTTCATCTGTGACTTGGGAATAGTTGCAGACATGACCAGGGGTTGGTTGGGGGGTTTTGCTCTGGCACTGGGAGGACATGATGATGGGGAGAAAGGATGAAGGTTCAGTATCCTAACACATGTTTTTAAGCAGTTCTTCAGACTCTGATGGAGCTCCACTGTGGCTAAAGCCATTATCCTTGAGGTGTCAAAATGGTTTCAAATGATCGACTTGTGTTGATCTCATCTCATACATGCAGCCTTCAGGGGTTCAGGCCCTAGGGGGGGGGCACTGTCATGACTGTGCATTCATCCTAAGTCCTCACTCACTCCACACCCCTTTCTGCCAGTCATTCACTCACTCCACACCAACTCCACCCACCCCCTGATGTTTATGAGTCATCTCCACTCTGACTGCTGTCAGACTTGTACTGCTCTCCTACCAGACTGAATGGACCATTCTCTAAGGGGTCATGTGACTACCTTCAGACTCCTCCCTGACAGCTCGCAGTCAGGTACTCTGCAGCATGCACACCACATGGTCCAGTGCCTGGACTGTTTCCTTTTCTGGATGTTCTATGTTACCCATTCATGTGTCCTCTGTCTACCCTTCATTCATTGTCTAGGAAGTTTTACTTGAAATTTTATGGGTCTCTATATGTTAGTTCTAATTCTGGTTACTGTACCTCCATAGTAGTATAAAAGCATGTATCATACTCTGCCATTCCTCAGTATGAATATTGACTTAGTTCCTACTCCCTCTGTCTCCATCTTCTGCCTGTCGGAGTTACCTCCGACTGTCTGTCTGTACTCCCCCTCTGAAATATGAGGGCTGAGATCATGCAAGGGGGTAGTGCATGAGCTAAACCCAACACCCTCACTTTGCTCCACCCTTACCTCAGTGGACTTCATTCTTGCCAACACTCTGCCAGTTGGAGTCCTGCTCTTTCTGTCAGACTTGCTTCCAAACCTCTCCCCAGACCTCATCCAGTGTCAGAGCTGGTTGGAGTAGGCCAGACTTGACATGAGTGAAGAAAAGAAGGCAAGGAAGAAGAGAAAATGGAGGATGAAACATTCACTACTGAGCTATTTATTTGGTCCTGGAAGAAGCCTACACACCTAATTCACACAAGCACCCTTGCTTCCTTCTAGCTTGCACAATCCTATTGAGAAGGGTCAATTGAATGGAAATCTGGCATTCAGGGCAGAGGAAAAATGCAGCATGTCAAACAATAGAGTAGGACTGTCATTGTCATTGTGAGCAGAAGATATAATAAAAACAAAAAGTTGATGTCATGATCAGATTCATAAATCTAACAAAAAGAGACTGACACATACCCAATAGTGATGATAAGTCAGCCCAACACCTGATGACAATAGATGTACCTCCAACTGCAATACAACAAGGAGTGGGTGAGTGAGGAATGAGGCAAGCACTGATGGAGATAATTTATACCTAGATATTACAGAACATGATCAGATTTGTAGGTCCAATGAAATGCAAAGGTAGGACATACCTCATAATAATAATAAGTGAGGATTGACAGTCAATAACTATGTATCTACCAAAACCACAATTCAACACAGAGTGGGTGGGTGTGGAATGAGGCAAGTGGTCAAGTGGAGATGAACAAGATAACTTATACCTAGATATTAAAGAGTGTGATTGGATTTGTAAGTTCAACGAAAAGTGATGGTAGCACATACCTTATAATAATGATAAGCAGGGATCAACAGCTGATAACAATACACCTACTGCAGACTGCAATAGAGCACAGAGTGGGTGGGTGAGGGATGTGACAAGTACAGACAAATGAAATGATTTAAATCTCATAGCTGATAACAAGAGTTGCAACAAGTACAGATTTGAACAAGATGATTGAAACCTCACACCTGATAACAATAATGAGTCAGGATCAACATCTGCTAACAATAGACATACCTCAGACAGCAATACTAGGCAGAGTGACAGTGACCCAGGAGAGAAATGAGATCAGTGCTAATGAACAAACATAGGTGTTTAGAATCAGCTGGAGAGAATAGTGCTATAAAACATACCTTTGCAAGCAGGAAGGAGAGGATCTGGGGTGAAGGGCAAGATGAACTCCTCAAGGTCTTGAACCCCACTAGCAGTGCAGTGGTGCTGGGGTGACCTCAGTGACACAAAGTCAACAGAGTATGAACTGCAGTGACACAAAGTCAGCTGCAGCTCTGAGTAAGCAGCACAGAGCCAGCTCAGGTTCAGCCAACACATCCAAACTTGAAGCATAGAGGTGGCAAGCAGGAAGATGATGACGGGGAGGTGAGAGGATGACAGTCATTCATAACAAAGTGCAGAGCTGCTGAGCACTGTGCAGCTGGAACACAGTCCTGTGACTTAGGTATTTTTGCCCTGGGAATTCTCCAGGCTATCACATCAAATGTCACTATCAATATATGTACATAAGCATAATAGGTAAATCCCTACAAACAAACAAATACTTATGATTTTCTGACTGCAGCTACTCTTCATCCTACTACCCTTGCCTTCCTCACTTTGTTGCTCAGTGCCTCCACCCTCAAGGTCTCAAGTCCCTCCCCACCACACACATCTTCTCCCATTGGGTTTGAGTTGGCTTTGTGTCACTCATCTTGACCTGGAGTTGACTTTGTGTCACTTTAGGTCACACTCTGTTGACTTTGCATCACTGAGGTCACCCCAGCACCACCACACTGCTAGTGGGGTTCAAGACCTCAAGGAGTTCATCTTTCCCTCTACCCCAGATCCTCTCCCACCATCATCCTTCCATTACTTTCTTGTATAAGGTGCATGTTCTATACATGCTATTCACCCTGTCATTCACCCCATCATTCATTTCATTGTTCACCCTGCTGTTCACCCCATCATTCACCCTGCCATTCTTCCTGGATCATCTTCTACCACTGTTGTGTTCTTATTTCCTTTCATAAAAGGTGTGTGTCAATTACATGCCATTCACACTGTTGTTTACCAAACCCTTTGCCCCAGACCTTCCCCTACCACTGTTGTACTCTTATATTCTTTTATAAAGGTGCATGTTTTTTACATGCCATTCACCCCATCATTCACCCTGCCCTTTATCCCAGACCCTCTCCTGCCACCAACATTTGTTTGCTTTCTTTCACAAAGGTGAGTATTTAATTACATGCCTTTCACCCTGTCACCAACTAATCTACACATGATCTGTCCATTATTCCTTGCAGCTCAATTCCAACACAAGTGAAAATGTCCTGGGGGACTGCACTTACCCACTTCAAAGTGTCCACCCAGCCTGGTGATGGTATGTTCCTCTACTTTTGTGTTTTCCTGGAGCTTACTTACCGTCCACAGCTAAAATTACATCACTGGATGCACGAGTGGTCACATGCAAGGACCACTGGGTGATCATGTCACCCAATGCAGACTTCATTCTGGAGCCATACATTTTTGAAGAAATCAATCTTTGTCTGCATGCTGATGGTCAGTTTGGCCTTGTCAATTGCATCCAATGGCCTCAAACATATGAAAAAAACTATGAATATGCTGTTTGCATACCTCAAAAAAATATGGTCCCTACTCTCAATATTGCTTGGTTCACTCCAACATCCACGGATTTCATCCTTCCACTTGGCTCTGTGTATCCAGTGGGAATGCTTGAAGAGGCAAAAGTCAAGGCCTTTGAAGAACTACTTCAGCAACTGTGCAGCTGCTATCACCCCCTCCACAATTGACCTGTGGGTTGAGACCTTATGACCCAACTAGTGTGGTTGGTTCAACATGAGGTTTTGTGCTTGTGGCATCACCCCCTTTTATTCTGAGACCTCATCATTTTTGTTGCCCAGCTTCAGCACAAGCTGCTTGACATTTATGCTTTGCTTGAATACATTGAGATCCTCTACCCACTTCTTTCATCTCCCCACTCAAAACCTGTACATGCAAACCCCACCTGGATGGGGTGCTTCACAAAGGATACTGCCACTTGCAAAGCACTATATTTTGCTGGGGTGCCAGTCTGGCTTGTGTGTACCAAGGCATACATCTCCCCTGATCTGAATATCAAGGAGCCTGTGAGATTGACATTCCCTGAAGACATAGTGAAAGCTATGTATTTGGAAACAGGGGTAGCTAAGCCATTCCCATCAATCTACCATGGTCCTGGTGGTCTCCTGCGCCACATTCACACTTGCAGGGACTATGAGGTTACATTTGCAGAGCAACCAGAGCCCCTGCAAGAATCATTTGCCACATCCTTGTCAAACCCATCTTCAAGCACTGGGAAGCAATCAGTGAAAAAGCAGACAAGGGCTGCCAGGGAACAAGCAACTGCAGGCCCCTCCAGAGGTATGTACCCTAATTTTCTTTCTGCTTGTTCCTAACCAACTTGTAGCTTCACACCCCAAACAATCAGGTGGTGGGGACTCAGTGAGGTGGGAAGAGCCTGATCTTCCAGAAATTCCCAAGCCCCACAGTCTGTTTGCATTGGCTTGGAGGAAAGCTTCAAAGGATATGTCCAGAGTCAAGTTGGGCATTGTGGACCCTGGTTATTGCTTTCCAAAGCCCACACTGTTGGTCAATGTGACCACCCCTGAACAAAAGAAGATGTACATGTTGAATTGGCTCTCTGCTCATCTGGCTTGGATGAATTGAGTTGACATTTGGTCTCTGCAGAAGAACCCTTCCCCTCAGATGTGGAGGGACTTCCTCAATGGTACTGACACAGAATGCTTGCCCTCTGGCACCCAGAGTGCATCCATGAAGTTGGTGGTTCAGGTGATTTTGGGGGACATCATTCAAGCAGCTTATGATGATCCTGTTCATACATTGAAAGAGATTGAGTGGAGGGGAATGCAGGTTAGTATTTCATCCTATTTAGATCTGTTCTTCATACTTATCTTGTGCAGGTCTGGGCTTCGAGCCTTTCAGACCCACCCCTTCATTTCACATGCTCCCTTCTATGGGAACTCTACAAACTCAACTTCCACTATGAACTTTGTGCACTCGATCAGGCCCTTGTCCCACAGTGTTGGCCCAATAGCCTAGACAAGTATACATGCCAATCACTTCTTTGGTCTATCTTCCCTGGTGGATGTGGTCTTTCAATTTGGTTGGCACCTCTTCCTTGGGAGCTGCATGATTTGGGGCTGACTGCTAGTGAGATGGAGGTGGCATTGCACTATCTGAACAAGTTCTGTCAGTTGCTATCTGCATGGCCAGGAGTGCCCTTTCATTTGAAGTCCCCAATTGAGCTGGATGGCTCTGGAAACCAAGCAGCATATGAAGCCTTCATCTTGGCTTGCAAATTCTACATCCAAACTGCATTTGATTATCTTGGGCATCAACCATCCCTCCCCCACATTTTTACCTTTGTCTGCCATCCTCCACTGCATATACTTTTTTTTTCTGTCCAAATTTGTTTAGTACAAGTATGTACCATGTCATAAAGCAGGCTGAATCAATTCAATGATTTGGAATGTTGCCTGTGACTGAACCTTAATCTCATGCTTTGTGCTCACTGCTTTTTTTTTGTTGATAGCAACATGTTATTCACTGACACTCCCACTGCCAGGCAAGGAATGTTCCCATCCCCCTTCACTGCTATTGATGCTTTATCTGCATCAAGGTCTGCACCATTTAATTCTTTGAGACTTGTTCTGCTCAGTATGTATGGCATCTTGATGATGGGGTTCCTGCTCACTGCAATGTTGATAGCAACTTTTGTTTTTAACTGCTTGAGACTTATGCTCTAGTAAGTAGGATCCCACTTGGCTGTATGTGGTGATCTGATGAATTTTCTGTGTAGTTTTTCCCTTCCAGAGGTTCATCATCTTACAGTGGTACCTCTGCACCTCTGTTCACATTTTCATTTATTCTACTGTTATATGCTTTGCTAATATGCCCTAAGTTCGCATTCCTACACTATACAGTGTTATGGTATGTTGTGACTGTTTGTTTTCCTTTGTTTACCATTTTTGCGCACTTAGCTGTTGTGTGTGCCCAGTGTATTTTCTCTTCAGTCTCTGACACTGGGCACAAGGCCTTAAGGCTGGGTGAAGTTAACACATCATCTGGTCAAAATCCCCTTGGACTGACACCCCCTGCTGACTTTGTGTCACACTTTCCACCACCTGTTGACTTTGAGTCCCAGGTGTACTGCTGTTGGCTTTGTGTTGCAGTTTCCAGAATGATCTGAGATGGCTGTTCACCATCCAAAGCCTCAGAGGCATCACAATGCTTTGCCTTCTATGAGTAATTCTAATATTGTGAGTTTTCCCTGTCTTCAAGCCTCATGTTGTGCTCATCATTTCTCTACAGGCCTCCTCCACTTAATCTGTCCAAGCTGGTCTGGTACCCAGTGTACTCACTGACCATCCTTCATCTTTGTCTGGTAATGAGCCATTGCTTTGTACTTCTGGCCCTTTGGTGTGTGCAATTTCATTATGGTATTCTTCATATCATCTTAGCTCCCCTACAGGTCTTATTGATGTCATCTGCCTCAACCAACTGGCTGCCCAATGTCACCACTCCATCATCAAACAACAAAGTGTCACTTGGTATACCTGCCCCTTCAGTATGTTCTGATCCTATGTCTAAGAGGTTATATGTGTTTATTTTTGGGTAGAATGTGACACAGTCATTGTTTGTCCCTCCTCCCCTAGCTCATCAACACTGCCCTTTTGGTATGAAAGTGCTGTACCTCCCTGCACCTTCACCTGTCTTTGTACTTCCAGGCTGCCAATGCTATGCTCAAGATACTGCTGCAATGCCACATTGCCCTCAGCACCAACCTGTTGATGTCTTCAATGCTGTGAATGAGCTTGAACTCAGTGAGGTTGGCTTGCCTTCACATCTGAGTGGTTCACAGAAGTGCAAGAACCAATGGCAACAGTGGTCACAAGATATCATTCCAGCACTTCTCAAGCCCTACATGTGCTATCTTGAGGCATCCCAATCCCTCCACATGGTGGTAGACCCCCCAGTCATCCATTGATGTTGCACTTGCACAGTGTATCAACTCACTGTTTGCTGTCTCTTCTTTGACTGTATGTGACCCTTTTGTTGTTTGCTCTTGTGATGCTCATGTATGCACAGGTTTGGAGGACATTGGGATAAGCTACTGTGCATGCACCCCAGCTCCTATATGCCTCATGGGCCATGGGTTATTTGCATCATCTCCTGTGGTACCTACTCTGGCAGTTGACCTTTGTGTACTGGAGTTTGTAAAGAAGCTCTTTGTCTGGCTAACACCAAACACAACTGCATGGTGTGAAGCACTTGAAAGCTTCCTGGATGGTCAAGGGTATAGACTGCAGTTCAAGCTATGTTCTTTTCCAAACACCATCACTGGATCTCTGCCTTTGTCTTCACATCCACCCTGTATGCTACTTGTATTGGTATATCCTCATGGTTTGAATGTACATGTACCCACACAAATATCTCTGGTGTAATGATGGGTGCTTATTCAAATAATCAGGACAATCTCTGGCAGCATTTCAGTAATGCTTATCATTGGTATACTGTATTGACAATATATGTGGAGGACCATATTTCTGCTATGGTCTGGTCCTTTCACCCAAACTCCATGCCACAGCAAGATAGCCCCTGGCCAAGTGACTACCTATGTGCTTGCTGTCCTCTTTGCTTTGGGGGAGGTGACTTACAGAGCTCTAACCCTCCTCAGGATGAGTGAGTCAATGACAAGCTCATTGTTGCTGACTAGATGACTGAGACCCAATAGCTTTGACTGCATTGTCTGCTTAGATACATGTTTCACTCACAAGAGAACCAACAAATCTGCCACTGATGACCTTCCCAATCCCACCAGCACTGTATTCATCCCTGAGTCAGAGGTGAAGGCCATGGAGGTTTTCATTGAGAAACAGAGATCCCTCCCAACCAGTCAACATCATTCTCAGACTCAAAACCAGCAGGACAGGTTGGAGGATGGAATGAGGGTACCTGCCTCTGTGTTGGATGGGTGTGGAGGTTCTTTCCATGCAGCAGATGAGAAGAGGAAAAAAGCCAGCACACAATTTTTTGCAGATACAGGGCTTATGGCATTGTTATGTCATCATGATCATGTCCTCTGGTTGGTTAATATGACATCAGCAGGGGAAAAGCAGCACTATGCCCTAGTGCTGGTGAAACATCTCTTTGACCATCTCCCTGCCAAGATGACTGTTGGCCTCTTATATGACATTGGTTGTCAATTGGAGTGTAGCTGTCAAAAGTGGAAACTCCTTGATGATGGGATACTCTCCAGGTTGAAGTTTGGTATTTCTGTCTTCCATGCTTATGGTCATCAATGGCCATGCCAATTGGTATATTACCCATGTAAATGTGTAGGCTTTGGCTTGTCAGATGGTGAGGGGTGTGAGTGACTATGGAGTGCTCTAAAAATGCTTATTCCAATTCTTTGAGTATCTGGGGTAGGCATTGACTCTTCAAATATAATTCCAGTGCTCATTTTACCCTTAGTATCATCAGAGATTATTTGTCCTTGACAATCAAATTCAACACTTGGACAAGAAGTCTTTTGATGCATTTGGCCAGTGGCTGAGCAGGAAATGGTCCCTCTGCAAAAGTAGGAAATTGGTGGCTTTGGAGGCTCTTCATGCTCTGCATGTTGACATGCAGACTCTGCAGCATGAGTGGGCTGCACAAGTACATGCGCGAACTCAACTTCTACCTTGTTAGTCGGTTCCCTTTGTGTGTGTGTGATCATATGACTCACCAACCTGTAGGTCAGTCAAAGAACAAGGGTTCTGAACAGTTGGCACATGTTCTTGCTCTGGAGAAAACAGTTGAGGACTATCAGTGCCATGTGGATCAGTTAGAGAAGGATCTTGTTGATGATCATGTCAATGACATTGTTGACTACAATCTACAACTTGCTGCAGCAAAAGGGTCACTGTCAAAGGCAGCCCAGGCCCTCAAGAAGAAAAAGGCTTCATTGGGACTTTCTGCCCAAACTGACCTTCATCTGCTGAGGAACAACAAGTGGCTCCAAACACAAACAAATGCACAAGCACTCAAGGTTTGGATCAGGGAATGACTTCATCAGCACAAGTTTGAGTTCCAGTGACTACAATGGTCATATGGGATCTCTTCCAGTAGTGAGCAAATTTTTATTTCTGGCTGCTATTTTCAATAACATCATGTAGAAAACCATTTACAGTCACATGTGGAGTCATCCATAAAACAATGAGAGCCTACCATCCTGAAACTTGTCACCACATACAATAATCTCTGTGGTGAACTGCAGAGTATGATACAACTGTGTAAGGCACCACCTGGTGCCATCCCTCACAATCCCATACCTTCTAAAGGTATCTTTCAGCTGGATGTTGATAGTGATATTTGGCAGGATGGTCTTGAGGAGCTTAGTGCTAGCACCCCATGTTGGCTTGCTGATGAGAGTGTGCACAAGGGAATCAGGCTGATGTTGGAAGTTGATTGCTGTAATGAAGAAGAAAGAAGGTTGTCAAGAGAGCGATTTATCATACAGGAATGGTTTTCCATGGAGTGGCTAAGTGTAAAGTCTGCTCTGGAAAATGTGGCAGGTGAGTGCAAATACCATGTTTATGTCCCATCTCATAGGGAGTTAGATGAATATTACAAGTATCACCTGCATGCCTACAGGGATTCCATTGTTGCAGTATATGTCAAATGGGAGGCCAAGGTTCAACATATGCCATATGCATGGGCTGCATCTAGGCCATGGGGACCTACAGCAGAAGACATCAGGGAGTGCCTTGCTGCCACACATAATCCTGGTGGAACTCATGCTTCAGAGGATCTAACAGCACCAGTATTAGAAGAGAATGACTCTGATGAAGGGGATGTAATGTCAGAAGGAGATGATGAGCTGTTGATAGCCATTGAAGAGATGGAACTGGAAGAGGAATGTCCCACTGAGCAAGCAAATGAAGGGGAATGTACAGAAGATGAGGATTGGTTGGAGGACATTGGAACTGGTGATTTGCCCTCATCACCATTGCAGGTGCCATCAAAAAGGTGTAGATACTAGATGCATACCTAAGCTTCATCAATAAATAGTTTGTACCCAGAGAAAAGATATGTATGAGTGATCTACATTCAATGTTACCCTAAGGCACTCTGTTGTATGGTGACCTGCAATGCCTTTGGCCTCCTGCTGGGTCAAGCATTATGATTGATTAAACTAACAAGAGAATGCACATAGTGCATTGGAAAATCCCCAGAGTGGGTGGGAGAATCCCCAGCATTGCCTGGAGAATCCCCAGGACAGAACTTGGAGAATCCCCAGTATAGCTTGGAGAATCCTCAGAGTGGGTGGGAGAATGCCCAGAGCAGGTTGGAGAATCCCCAAGACAGAACTTGGAGAATCCCCAGTATACCATGGAGACTCCCTAGAGTGGGTGGGAGAATCCCCAGAGCAGGTTGAAGAATCCCAAGCATTTCCTGGAGAATCCCCAGCAGTGCTTGGAGAATCCCCAGGTCATAGCTTGGAGAATCCCCAGAGTCAGTTGGAGAATCCCCAGCATTTCCTGGAGAATCACCAGCAGTGATTGGAGAATCCCCAGAGTGGGTTGCAGAATCCCCAGCAGTGCTTGGGGAATCCCCAGGACATAGCTTGGAGAATCCCCAGAGTTGGTGGGAGAATCCCCAGCATTGCTAGGAGAGCCCCTAGAGACAGGAGTTGGCTGGGAAATTCCAAGCATTGCCTGGAGGATCTGCTGCATACCCTGTGGATCCCCAGAGTGGGTGGGGAAATTCCAATGGCACCTGGACAATCTTTGAGTTGTATGCAATGGCCAACACTGGAGATCACTGAAGACTTGGGAAGCATGGTGAAAGTATATGTCTGCTGTGCCTGGGCAATCACCATCACCAAGTATATTCTACTCCCTCCATCAGATGTCACCAATCTTTCCTTAGTGGTCTATGGCCATGCTTTTTCATATATTGTATAGAGTGCTCAGATCAGATGCCATGGAAATAGGTACTTGGCATGATACACACTCCTGTCAGCAACATGGAGACTCCAAATCATTTTGATTGATCCTTCATGCTGTGATGGTGGTCTATTTGAACTGGAGGTTCCCATGATCATCTTGGAATAGGTCTGTTTGGGCTGGATGCCCTGGGAACAGGTCCATTCAGGCTGGGGAAACTCCCAGGATGCACTGGGAACAGGTCTATTTAGGCTGGAGATTCCCCCAGGATGCCCAGGAAACAGGTCCATTTAGGCTGTGGAATCCCCCAGGATGCACTGGGAACAGGTCTATTTAGGCTGGAGATTCCCCCAGGATGTCCAGGGAACAGGTCCATTTAGGCTGGGGAATCCCCCAGGATGCACTGGGAACAGGTCTATTTAGGCTGGAGATTCCCCCAGGATGCACTGGGAACAGGTCCATTTAGGCTGGGGAATCCCCAAGGATGCACTGGGAACAGGTCCATTTAGGCTGGAGAACCCCCCAGGATACCCAGGAAATAGGTCTATTAACTCACTGGGGAAAGCCCCATTTGGACCCCAGGCACTCTGTTATAGATGTAATAATCCTGGAGAAAGTCCATGTCTCACACCTTGCTCTGGAGAATCTCCAGGGCCTGGCAAATCTCCAGCAGTTGCTGGGAATACCCAGGTGGTCAACACCTATTAGGTGGATACATCTATAAGAATATATGAACCTAATAGGTCCCCTGGGGGGGGGTGACTGAAGTGGTCAGATTGGCATCCTGTACATAGTGCAGCCCAACATGACTACACAGTATGTCTGGTTCCAGAGTAAGCTGTGGCAGACACTCCAGAGCAAATTCCAGAGCAAACTGCGGCACATATGCCAGAGCATACCATAGCATTTCAGAGCACTCTGGAGCATGCCATGGCCCTTTGGGGTGAGCTGCAGCATATGTTCCAAAGCAAACTGCAGCATGCCAGCCACTCCAGAGCAAATGCTGGAGAAAACTGCAGCACATGTGCCAGAGCATGTCATGGCCCTCCAGGGTAAGCATTGGCATATGTTCCAAAGCAAGCTGTGGCATGCCAGCCACTCCAGAGCAAATTCTGGAGTAAACTGTGGCACATGTGTGGGAGCATGCCATGGCCCTCTGGGGTAAGCTTCAGCATATGTTCTGAAGCATACTGTGGCATGCCAGCCACTCTGGAGCAAATTCTGGAGCAAATGCCAGAAAAAACTGTGGCCCATGTGGGCACTCTGGAGCATGCCATGGCCCTCTGGGGTAAGCTTCAGCATATGTTCTGAAGCAAACTGCAGCATGCCAGCCACTCTGGAGCAAATTCCAGAGTAAACTGTGGCACATGTGCTGGAGCATGCCATGGCCCTCTGGGATAAGCTGCAGCATGCCAGCCACTCTGGCAAAAATTCCAGAGCACACTGTGGCACATGTGCCAGAGCATACCATAGCATTCCAGAGCACTCCAGAGCAGGCCATGGCCCTCTGGGGTGAGCTGCAGCATATGTTCTGAAGTGAACTGCAGCATGCCAGCCACTCCAGAGCAAATGCTGGAGCAAACTGTGGCACATGTTCCAGAGCATGCCATGGCCCTCCAGGATAAGCTGTGGCATGCCAGCCACTCCAGAGAAAATTCCACAGCACACTGCAGCACATGTGCTGGAGAATACCATCACATTCTGGAGCACTCCAGAGCAGGCCATGGCCCTCCAGGGTAAGCTTCAGCAAATGTTCAGAACCAAAGTGTGGCATGGCAGACACTCTGGAGCAAATTTGAGAGCAAACTGCAGCACACGTGCCATAGAATACCATAGCATTCTGGAGTACTCTGGAGCAGGCCATGGCCCTCTGGAGTAAACTGCAGCATATGTTTGGGAGCATTCTGTACCATGCTGACACTCCAGAGCAAACTGCAGCACATGTGCCAGAGCATGCTGCACTGTCCACAGTTTGATTACCAGTGTGCACCCTATTTATTACTGAAAGTGTAGCAGGGTCCACTAGTTGATTACCAACATTTTATTAGTGTCCACTATTTTACTAGTATTGCAGTATGCTGTTAGTGGTGTCTACATGTTTCATTACCACAACTGTAGTAGTGTCTGCACTTTTGATCACAAGTGTAGCAGGGTCTACTAGTTGATTACCAACATTTTGGTAGTGCACCATGCCGCTAGCATTGTTTCCTATATCATTCAGTGCCTGTAGTTTCATTACCAAGTGTCCATCCTGTTCTGCCATTCTGCAGACAACCTGTAGTATTTCAGAGTACTATATGGCTATACAGCACTGTGAATGGCACTCAGAGCTGACAGTAGAGCTTGGCATGGTGTGACATGGCTTGGCACTGTCAAGACCTGGCTGATGTATAGGGGTCACTGCTGAAGGATGGCTGATGGAGGCCAATGAGATAGGGGCTGTGCCAAGGCTGGCTAATGTATAGGGGTCACTGCCAAATGGTGGCCAATGTAGGTCAGTGCCACAGTTTACTCCAGAGTGCTCCAAAATGCTATGGGTATGCTCTGGCATATGAGCTGCAGTTTGCTCCAGAATTTGCTCCAGAGTGTCTGCCATGCCACAGTTTGGTTTGGAACATAAGCTGCAGCTTATTCTGGAGGGCCATGGCCTGCTCTGGAGTGCTCTGGAATGCTATGGTATGCTCCAGCACATGTGCTGCAGTGTGCTCTGGAGGGCCATGGAATGCTCTGGCACATGTGCTGCAGTTTACTCTGGAATTTGCTCTGGAGTGGCTGGCATGCTGCAGCTTATCCTGGAGGGCCATGGCATGCTCTGGAACATGTGCCACAGTTTACTCCAAAATTTGCTCTGGAGTGGCTGGCATGCTGCAGTTTGCTTCAGAACATATGCTGAACCTTACCCTGGAGGGCCATGGCCTGCTCTGGAGTGCTCTGGAATGCTATGGTATGCTCTGGCACATGTGCTGCAGTGTGCTCTGGAATTTGCTCTGGAGTGGCTGGCATGCCACAGCTTACCCCAGAGGACAATGGCATGCTCCAGCATTTGCTCTGGAGTGGCTGGCTTGCCACAGTTCATTTTGGAACATATGCCACAGCTCACCCCAGAGGGCCATGGTATGCCCTGGAGTGCTCTGAAATACTATGGTATGCTCCAGCACATGTGCCACAGTTTACTCCAGAATTTGCTCTGGAGTGTCTGGCTTGCTGCAGTTTTCTCTGGCATTTGATTTGGAACATATGCCAAAGCTTACCATGGAGGGCCATGGCATGTGCCAGCACATGTGCTGCAGTGTGCTCTGGAGGGCCATGGCATGCTCCAGCATTTGCTTTGGAGTGGCTGGCATGCCACACTTCACTTCAGAACATATGCTGCAGCACACCCTGGAGGGCCATGGCATGCTCTGGAGTGCTCCGGAATGCTATGGTTTTCTCCAGCACATGTGCTGCAGTGTGCTCTGGAGGGCCATGGCATGCTCCAGCATATGTGCCCCAGATTGTCACATGGTGCTGATCTACATATGCTGTAGCATACAACACTACACTGCTGAGCTATCCCAAATCATGCTGAGGTCTTGTGCCAACTTCCAGTGCTGATCTACACATGCCACAGCATGCCACTGGATAGGTGACATCTCACACTAGGCTACTCCAGGTACTACAGGGACAATTTGATTGTGGCCTACTCATGTGTTATTTGATAATAGAAGTTGGGCTGGTCTATACAGCAGGGGCATGACTCAATGTAGGGCTTGACCTCTGCTTGCCCATGGGACACAGCCAATTGTCAGCCTCTGCTGGCCCTGTCATATGGTACAATGTAGGTACATTATGTGGGTTGTCATGGAAAGTTCTGCACAAGGTGCCTTGGGGCCTGCCAGAAAGTCCACTAAGAAGACTACCTAAAAGTATTGCACCTCACCACAAGCATCTGGAGAGGGTACTTTGTACCCTGGAGGGGGGAATGTGAGGTTTTCAGCCCAATGTCAACTGGGTTTTCTCAGGAGCTGTTTGTTATGTGACAGATCCAATAAGTTTCTCATTTGTTCTTGCTGTTCTTACTTATCCTTATCCCATTCATCTACATTGACATATCTGTGCCTATCCTCTACAGTATAAAAGGGCCTGTGAAATGTAGAGTATGGGGACTTCTTTTCCCTACATCAATACAGACCACAAAGTCTGGATAACTTGTAGTGTGCTTAAGAAAATTCTGTTGTGTCTACATTGCAAGTTTAAGTACTTCACATTGGAGTCACAGGTGTTCCCTTCTACACCCACCTTTTTTCCAAACCATTGTGGTACTGTTGTTCTCAGTGCCTCTTCATCCTGAATGAGGTCTGACCACATCTTCTTTGGTTCATTTTCAATGTTAGTATTAATTTCAGGTTCATCATGCATCCAGGCAGGCCAATGGTTCTGATCTAACAATACAGAAGTTCGTACTAAAGAAATGTTACTTTGTGCAGGTGACCATGGCTTCATGAAGCCATCGCTTGCTGCTGCATGCTTGCCAGGTTCCACTCCAGTTGCTGCTGGGGGGTCTGGGGCACAGCCATCTGGCATGCTCCTGAGCTCATGGACTGGCTCCTTGGCACTGCTTGGCATGTTGTTCACATCACTTCCAGGGTTACAGGTAGTGATGCAGCCTTGGGCATCACCCATTGTCCCAACAGATCCCAAGAACCTGTGAGCTAGCAGGGAGGTCACATCATCAGGCGAGGTTTCATAACCATAATCAGCGCCCCTTGTGGCTCCCCCAAATTGGAACAGACCAACCTGCTCTGGCTCGATGGCCCAGAAGTGGCACTGGATTTCTTCATTTATAGCTGTAATGACTTTAAAATAGCAACTATGCACTGGTTGGCCAGACCAATAGCGAGCAGGCAATGTCAAGGTCGAAGGATTCAGGTTAAGATTATATGAACAGAGGGTTTTAGAGGTTGTTCAAAATATGTGACAGAAAGCAGGAGATTTCGTCACATGGGTAGTCCATTCTTGTAGGAGGTTGGTCTTATGGAGTTCAGGGAGAACTGGTTGAAAGAAACTCTGTTTGAGGGAGACTGAAAAAAAAGGACACAAATATCTACATCCTTATATATTGTGAGGGACAAGCAGGTAGCTAAAATGGGAAAACTAAAGAATGAGAGTGAAAGAAAATTGAGGGGTCAACAGTGATCCAATATGTCCAAAGCATTATCAGTGGAAATCAACTATGACATGTTACACATACAGTTAGCCACTGGTCACACCATCACTCTGCTCTCCCACCTCCATGGCACCAGTGGTTGCTGGTTTCCAAAGCTTACTGGATTGTCTCCTTCCTGCTGCAGGCCCAAGCAGCAGTTAAGTGTTGCACTATGTGTTCAATATGCTGTCCAGGTCCTTATTGTCAGGGTTGTTGTAGTATTGTACCACTGCAGATTGGTGTCTAGCCATTGACTGTAAGCTTCCTATATGTTTGTCAGATGCAGTGGAAGTTCCACATAATGTACCTACTTTGTACTGTATCATATGACCAAATGAGGTTGACAATTGGCTGTGTTGCACAGACTGGCTAAAGTTGAGCCCACCTCTGAGTTGTCATCGTATCACACAGCATAGCCATGATCATTGGATGTCACCATACTGCACAGTGTGGCTGAGGGGTTACTACTATATACATCTTGCCTGGATAATCCTGGCATGGATTCTGGCAAGTTGGGAAAGGTCTGGTACTAACCTGGTCTGGGCTCACTGGCATGAGCCCAGCATGTGTCAGTGATTGCCAGTAGGTCAGAAGGCATTCCACTGTAATTCTATTGGGTTGGTATGAATGCTGGGCTAATTCCAGTAAGCTGGGACAAATGCTGGGACAATGCCAATAAGCCAGGAAACATACCAGTCTTATGCTAGTGGGCTGGCACAGATGCCAAGGTGGTGATGGTCAGTTGGCATGGATGCTGAGCTAATTCCAGTTGGCTGGTATGGATGACAGCCACCACACTATTTCCAGTGGGTCAGAAGGCATACCAATGTACATCCATTGGGCTGGTATGAGTTACAGCCACTTCTAGTATGCTGGGACACATACCAGCCTTATGCAAGTGGGCCATGATGGGTGCCTGGATTATGGTGGGTAATTGGAATATATGGCTAGCCAGCTTTCATGCCAGTATTAGTAAGCTGGGACCCATACTGGTATAGTGCAAATATGCCAGAATAGAGGATAAGCTGGTGGTGGTTTGTGGGCATGGATGCTCATCTAATTCCAGGTGGGCCAGATGTATCACAGCCTCCAGGATATTTCCAGTGGTTCAGAAAGCACACTAGTGGGATTCTATTGGGCTGGTATGACTTCCTGACATTTCCAGTTAGCTGGGTCAGATCCCATGTTATTGCCAGTGAGCTGGGATATCTACTGGGCTGAATCTAGGGGACCAGCAGGGGGCCAAGGCCAGTGACAGTTGGTTGGCATCAATTCCTAACTAACTCCAGTTGGCTGGGATGGATCACAAACTCCAGGCTATTTACAGTGGTTCAGAAGGCATTCCAGTAGGATGGTATTGGGCCAGTATATGTTCTGGCCAAATCCAGTCAGCCAGGGTTAAATTCCCAATTGATGACCATGACCTGGGACACCTACCAGCCACAATATAGTGGGCCAGCACAGGTCCAGGGCTGGTGGCAGTTGTTTGGCATCAATTCTGAACCAACTCCAGTTGGCTGGGATGGATGACACCCTCCAGGCTATTTACAGTGGTTCAGAAGGCACTCCAGTGGGATTCTATTAGGCCAGTATATGGTCTGGCCAAGTCCAGTCAGACAGGCCAAATTCCCAGTTGATGACCATAACCTGGGACACATACTGGCCTTATGCTAGGGGACTGGGACAGGTGCCCAGCCTATGGTAGTTGATTGGCATGGATGCCCAGTTAAGGCCACTTAATGTTACCAGTGTAGATGATGGGCTAGTCTTTTGGCATCCCCTGGTGAATGGATGAGCCATACAAATAGTGTCCCATATATATTGGCTTGGCTGGGAAGCTATTGTCTATGGGGCTTATATATCAGTGGCCTGTGTAATAAGGCTCAGCTTGACCTGCAGTGTTCCATTTGGAATGGTGGGAGCATATTTCAGTGTGCCATGCACATCAGCCTCAGCCCAAATAGGAGTGCCCATGTACTATGGAGGGCTTATAGTCCATTGTACCATGTCCTTGGGGTGGGCCCAGATATTGTGATCCTGTAGGACAGGCTGGATGAATACTCCAGTGTTTCATGGTGTACAGGAGGCCCATGATACAGTGTCCCATCTATCTCAATTCAGCCCATGTATTATGATCACCAATCCATGTGGTCTGGCACATATGCCATGGTCTCATGCACAACAAGCAAGCCAATCTCCCAGTGTGCTGTCTGACTGGATTCAGCTTGAGTTGAAGTGTTCCACCAATTACAGGCCAGCCATAGTTGATATTTGGGAGAGGTATATGGAAAATAACTTGGCTTGGGATGGCATATAATATCTATAGAACTACCTTTACATGGACCCCCTTCTGGATAAGTGTAGGTTATATGGAATGTCCCACTGAACCTGCAGGCATCAACCAAGTCTGGACATTCTGAACTCTCATCCAATCCCCACAGGGTATCCCTATCCAATTGTGTATGTTGTCCCTCATGTAGTAGGCAAAGCAACATTGGTTCCCACCCACAGAACTAACCCCATGTTGAAGAAGCCAGCCAGAAAATGCAACTACAGTGCTGGGGTTGTAAAGGAACTGAAGGCCAAGTGTGGGGATATCCAATACACAATCTTCATAATTGCCAACTGTGACCAGCATGTCATACCAATCAGACCATGAGTGTGGGTCCTGGTGAAAGGGTGTGGTCCAGTTAGAGATTATGGAGACATTAGTAAAAACCAATGGCCAGTGCTGCAAGGCATCCTGCATATCTTGGTTATGCTGACTCAACCATGTGTCCAACAACTGCATGCTTTTCAGCAGGCCAACAACCCAAGTGATTGACTGCCAGATGACTGGTATTGGCAGGTTCAGGTGGAAACAATGAGTTTGTTGAAATGGATGCTGGTTTGCTGTGTCACACACTTTTCCACAGCATATATTGAAGCAGGCCCTGGCTACCTGCAACTCATATGGGACAATCATGAAGGTCCCATATGTTGCCAATGAACTGCTTTGGTGGATGGCCATACAAAATATGGGAGAGACCACCCTGCTGGCACACATCATGGAGTTGAATGTGCTGCAGGTCAAAAGAGGAGAGGTGAGATGTATGATCCACACCAGTCCTATGCCACATACCTGGTGGACAAGGGACCCTACCCATCTGGATGGGTATGATCATTGGTCATTGGAGGAAGTTTTGCAGGAGGCCAAGGAATTCTTTGTTGGGGTTGAGGTGCATGGTGGTCATTTTTCAATCATTCCATTGAATCCATCCATGCCATAGGAAGGAAAAGAGAGTCTCCCACTGCTGAGTGACATCGACTGGATGCCATCAGACAGTATTGGCCAGTTGATTGAAAGCTGTGATGAGATGATCCATCAGGAGGAGGAGATTCACCGGCTCCATGGTGTGATGGAATTCTGCAGTGAGCAGCTCACCCTTTTTGACAGGCTTGGACAAGTACAGGACCAGCTTGAGGACTTCCAAGTCAATTCAGTTACCCAGCTAGGAGCCAGAAATAGGTAGGGTGCTATCCTCATTACACATCTCATTAGAATCTTGATATGTAGTTTCCCTGGTTTCATACTATCTAGAGATATATGCACATTACTCTTCCAATTCATATCTTGAAGTACATCCTAGTGTTCTGGCTAAATCCCAATACATCTGGGACTGCCTAGCCATATAACATGTGAAGCCAGTATTGCCCACTGCCAATGCCTCCATATGCCAGCCACTCCAGAATTTCTCCTTGTGTAAGAAGAATTTCTGTGTCCACCCAGTCTCCAGTGTGAGTAACTCTAGCTCTTCTTCCCAGGAATCCCATAGCACTTTTGTACACAGCCAGTTGACTCAATAAACTGTGATAATTCAGTCAGTATTTCACACAAGCCCAATTGATCTGCCTACATTCCAACATCCTGTCATTCATGGCAGAATCCCAGGGAAGGTCCACAGTCCAAAACCAGGCCAGAGTGTCATCATGATGACCTCTTGCATTTGGGTCTGCAATTGTGGCACTCACAGTCAGGTCTGCCCTATTCAATTCTTGGTATTTGCCAAGAATGTCCTCCCCAGCCCCCAGTGCAATGAGTTGCTTTTGGCACTGGCAATAGATGGTGGCATGCCACTGAACCATTGCCTCTGCATTGGATATCTGCCCCCATGCCCAGGTTGTCATTTTGTAGTTCCCTTCTTTCCAGACATCTGTACAAAATATCATGGCCTTGTCCATGAGGGCCAGATGCAATTCATGCAATGCATCATTTGCCTGGCCCTGTCTCAGATGTATTTCCTGTTCCACAAGACTGCCAAGGCCAATGTCATGGAAATACTGTACTCTGATATATGATGGCAGTGGAACATCACTGACCTCCTGGTGACCAGGATGATCAGGGAGGAACAGATCATCCGTTTTGTTGTTACTGTCCCCATTGAATGGGGCTATACTTTTGGGCCTTTGCCAGGGGTTAACTTGCCAGTCATTTCCAATGAACTGGGCTGCTCCATGTACTAGTGCATCAATCTGTGATTGCAACCAGTCTTGCTGGCATGAAATTGACAACCAGTCTGCCTCTGTTGCCCTGGGGTCCATCTGTCATGTATCCATAGCAAGGACTATTTGAGACTGCTCAACCTTTAATGCCTATGCAATCCAAGTAGCTGAACCACATGAGCTGCTGAATGAATGGTTGTTATGGATTAGGTCAATCTCAATGGCTTTCATGGTGGGTGCTACCATGATGTATGTAAGTTATGGGAAAGATGATACAGTTGGCCCCCTTACCCTTCTCCAGCTGGACTTCATATATGTCCATGGCCTGTGGAGTATTTCGCTGGCATGACTGCACCACAAGTTCTTGTTCCACCCATAACCAATGCAAGCCATCCAGTACCTTGCTATCCAACTTGTCGAATTTATCTTGGATTGTTGCTAATGACTGCTTGGCAACCTTGAACTTCCATTTCAATTCTGATGCTATGTGCAAGTAATCAAGCAGTGGTCAACCAGGTACTGTGATGACATACACATCTGTATCATTTTGAGGAAGTTACTATCATTCATTTGGAAGTCCAGCAACTCCTGACAGTGTGCTGTTTCCATTCCCCAGGCTGATGGTGAGATTATGTTGAGAGAAGACCAGAGGGTCTCCATGATTTCACCATCCACCTGGCCAGCACCTGGAATAAAGTTTGGAGCATATCTGGCAAAGCACTCTGTCTGATGGCCATGGACATGCCATAGTCCAATGCTGGGCTGAATCTGTAATCTGGAAGGCAGAGAGAGATATCTATTTTCCTCAAGCTGGTGGGCCAAGTTATTGCTATACTGACAATTGATGTCACAAAAGGTTATGACCAGTTTCCAGGGGTCCAATCCATGGTGCACAGCATGGACAAGAGCATAATCCAAATTGACCTGCCTGCTATATTGTTAGTCATGAACAGGGACTATGAATTGGTGCATACTGCTCTCCCTTCTGAAAGTTGACCATTGCATGAGGTACAAAACAGCCATGCCTCACACAGGCACATCCACCAATCCCAATTGATTCCAACTTATTCCTTAGTGCATTTGCTTGATTAACAGCCTGGTGGTTATTGCAGTTGGATTTCTGCATGATGCAATCAGTCTGGTGCCTTTGGAGAGATCATGGCACACCAACTTCTATTCAATTTATGGTCCCAGTCAAATATTCCTTGTATGGAGCTGATGTGACCATGAAGCCATTTCCATCCATGAGCCAGACCTCTTTGGCAGCATTCTTGGGCAGCATATGCTCAGCCTTGAAGTTGCTGTCCATCACAAAGGTCCTAGCAAACTGCCAGCTACACAAGTCAGGCTAACAATGCCTTTGCAATAATGAATAGAATATGGACTCAGAGAGATCAATATCCTGATCCAGTACATTGATCCCTGGCTGGGGACAGGCAGGGCAGAAGAGGACAAGTTCACTGGCCCAGGGATCAGGCAACTGTTGATGGAATCCCTGCCATTTCAACAGCTTTAGGAGCCTCCACATTCTTGACACCCTGAGCAATTCCCTATACCTATTCTTTGACCAGCATGAGCAATGTGACATATGGTAGGCCAGGGGTGATTGCACTCACTGGTACTAAGTGAGGAAATGTGCTTGAGGTGACTCTCTGAAGTTTGCTATAATAGTTCATGGCAGAGGTTCCACATTCAACATTGTCCCTGATGAAGTCATCCAGCACCTGGAAAGTGAAAGCTGTCCTTGGTGCCTTAGTCATAGCTGGGAATAGGCTGGCCATGGTAAGCTGAAGATGTGAATCCTCAGGCCCAGGGCAGTTGCAATACTGCACATTGCAAAAGTGCATGCTGCCAGTGTCCACAACTTTCAGATAGTTTCTATCATCTGGTGGGTTGAGATGTGCTGGTCATTGACTCTCCTCAATGTCCTCCCACTCTTCATCTACATGGCTGGCAGCATCCTCCCAAGAACCTTCTCCTGCCAGGCATGGTGCCCTGGCATGGCCCAAGTGTAGCACCAAACCAACCTACAATATCAGTCATCACAGATGATGGGTTGAGACTGGAACTCACCAGCTGTAGAGTGAAGTCTTCAAAGAATCTTCCATTCCATTTTTGTACCCAATGGAACAGTCTGAGTTTGTGTTGCTCAATGCAACATGTTTTACAAGACAATGGGCAATGAGCACAGTCCATGCATCTATATGGTGCCCCTTGTGCTTTACACACAAAACAAGCCATGACATCAGGTAGGGCCTCCATGTCCAGGAGCACAGACAGGTATCTACTCTTATAGGGCAGCCACTCTTCCAGAAAACTGTTCTGTAATACTGTAAGGCACACATTGCCAGCACTGGGATGTTTGATAATGCACACCTGGCTTTTTGGAATTCTTGATGTCCTCAGTGGTGATGCATCATCCATGTAGCAATATAGGTCAGCATCATTATCCTGGAACTTTATTCAAGAATGGGTGACAGTAACTATGAGGAATGGACTCCAAATTTTCTTTCAACAGAGGGTAACATTACCTGCAACTAACCAACCCCAACACCTTCTCCAACATTCAGAATGGCCAGCAGCAATCACAGTACTAATTGTGTTAATACCTCAGATGAGGAGGACTTTTCCTCCAATGAGGAATCTAGCTTGGATAGCATGGAGACAGAAAAATCTGCACCAGGAAAGCTGAGACTGGATGAACTTCAAATCCTCCAAGACAGTGTCACACACCAAAGGTGTTTGGTGAGGTGGACATGGATACAGCTGATGAGTGGAGATGAAGACCATAGCCCTCATGCAAAGAAGGACAGCCAGAAATGTCAGCAGTCATCCCTCACACAAGAACAAGTCATCAGTGCCAAAGAAGAAGAAAGGGAGTGAGTTAAGCACTGGTTTGACATTACTTAACTCATACTTTGATGTTTTGACTGTCTTTGACTCACCTATTGCCAATACTTACCAATCTTTTGACTTTGCTTACTGATCCTTTGCCTTTTGGCTTGCTAATCCTTACCAATGCTTTCCAAGACGATTACCCATTGCTTACATTCCTTACTCATCAGTGACCAGTTGCTTACCAAGTGTTTGCACCTTGTTTTCCAAGGGCAACATCCCTGTACTGTATATAAATCACTGTACTTAGATAGCAAAAAGAAGAAGATGTCAGAGAGCCCCTCTTGCTCGCATTTTATCATCACTCAGTAATTCATTCAGCAGCTTCAATAGTTGAGACTTTATTAAGGGTCTAACTATCGTCTATTTTGCTTATCCTTGTCTATCATCAATATACTTTGCTCCAAGCCCTCCCTGAGCTCAGTGCAGCTTAGGACATCAAATTAAGTCGCCATCCATCCTTCTGTAGGCTGACAGCAGTCTACCCTATCACTTTCTATCACATTCTTGCTCCCTCTTTGTCAGGAGCACCCCCAACCCTCAGCACTTGTCTTTGAGTCTTGTAGCTCACAAAAACCCACCCAAATCAAAGGTTCTACCATCTAGGTACTGCATAGGCACACCACCACTCACTCTTTTTGTCTTTTTTGTTGGTTTTGGTTGGTTTTCACCACTGAACCACACTTTGACTCACAATGGTCTAAAGGATTGGAAGGAAGCTGACACAAACAAAAGGGTCTCACTGACAGAGGGCATGTGGAACAAAATCAAGTGGCTGGATGCCAACAAGGGCCTCAAACAAAATGAATGGAATAGAAAGTGGACAGTAAGCTTGACAGTGTGAGTCAAAGTGTGGAAAGCTGGTGAAAACCAAACAAATCCAACACCAATGACAAATAATGTGTGAGTGGTGGTTTGCCTCCATGGAACCTGGAGTGCAGAAGAAAATCTAATGTGGGGGGGGGGGGACTTCAAGTGGAGGTGCTCCTGGCACATGTCATTGACAAGTTATGCAGGAGTAGACAAGCAAGTGATGACTGGACAGGGGATGCTGAACAGAGTGAAGATGTTCAGCCAAAAGGACCTCTGGAATGATGGACTTTGATAAAACATGCTCTTGGTGCAAGTCAATGTCAAGTTATGCAGGAGTGGAGGGATGATTAAGCAAGACTGCTGACTAAGAGTGGAGAAAGCTTCAGATAAGGAATGGAGGTAGATAGACCCTTGATGGAGCCTCAACTACCAAGGATGATGGATGGTGACAGATAGACTCTTCTGAATGAGCCTCAACTGTTGATGACAAGTTATGCACTGAGAGAGCTGAACTGACTTCTGGATTGCTTGTGGATTGCTTGTTCTCTGGGGTTGTAGCTAAGTACATGGGGGGTTTATATACTGTGGGGGGAGCACAGCTTGTGACAAACAAGGCACAAACACTTGGTAAGTAATGAGTAAGGACTGAATAATCATGATGAGTAAGCAAGAAATGAAAAGTAAGCAAGCAAAGAAGATTGGTAAGTATTGGCAATAAATGAGTCAAGGATAGCCAAAATATCATAGAATGAGTCAAATGGAGTCAGAAACTGAGTAAGCACACTGATATCACATTAGGGGGTGGCAATGCAAGTCAGATCTCAGCAGAGACATCTCTAGATCCAAAGATGGCATGACAGATGGACAGTGTTTCCAGATAGGTCCAGAATTGAAGGGCATGAGTCAGGCATCAAAGGGGCTAGGGCATTGGGGGTCTGTGGGGCAATGGGAGCATAAGCTATCGTGTCTCCCACCCTTTCATCCTCTCAGCAAAGTTAACAAAAGCTTCATGAATGGGGCTCTGATAGAGGAGGAGAAGGGGGGACATCTTCTGCTGGATCTTGCAGTAAGAAGGCAAGATGCACATCATACTCATCATGAATGTGATCAGGGAGGCAGGAGAACAGTAGACTATGCTGCAGCTGTCACAGTGCAGGAAGAATGATGGATGAGATTGGAATAAAGATGGTGCAGGGAGCAGGGAGGAATGATCCATATGCTTCATCAAGAGGGGAGACCAAAATGACCACATAAGACCTTCTAACTAAGTGACAGACCTGGGCAACCAAAGATCATCCTTCTGGAAGTCATACTGACAAGGAGAACATGCTGACCAAGCTGCATGGGATGAGATGGGGCTGACAATGATGGGATGAACCAGGGGGCTTCAGGACAGAAGCTGGTGGGAACACCTGGCAGATACATGTAGCCACTATCTCTGGCAAATGAGACAAGCAAGATGATCAATGAAGAGGTGGCCATGATTGATGGACTTAGCAAAATGAGTGTCTGATGGATGGAGTGCTGTAGAAATGCATAGGGTGCAAGGATCCTCTCCAAATTTGGAAGGCAGAACTGCATGGCTGAGCTCTTTAAGTGAGTGTGAGAATGGAGTCAATATCTTTGGAAATGGTGGAGATACAACAAAAACCAGAATGCTGCACATGGGTGCTAAAAACCTCTAATGTGCACTTAACTTGCTTCCTCTTTTCTCTTTAGCACTGACAACTCATTCTTGTGTGAAGGATGACTGTTAACATCCAGCAGTCTTTCTATGCATGAGGCCTTTAGTCTTCATCTGCATGGCATGGGCATTGCACACAACTCATTGATGAGTTAGGCAGAGTCAGATGTAACAATGTCCACAACACCTTTGGTGTGTGACAATGGTTTTGATGTGCTTGCAGTTGTGTTAAGTATATTTTACAGGCCATCAAGAACTGGATGTATAACAACAGTTGGTCCCAGGCACAGAAGGCCCTGGTCAAGTATGGCTCCAAATGGATGGCCCTAAAGGTGATCAAGCTGCAGTGTAAGAAGGATATCCAGCAAGTACTTGTGAAGGCCAGAATACAGCCCAGGATGTTGGCTATGATCAAACACTATCAGCTGGCCATTCAGAAGGCAGTCTAGTTGTTGACCAAGGCTGAATTGGACCAGGCAGCCTGTTTGGTGAAAGAGTGGAATGAGAGAAAGCTGCCACCTGAAGCCCAGGCAGAGTAAGCATCCAAGTTCTCCCATGGGCAATACTAACTTAAATGCAGGGCAGCAACAAGTAAGGGCCAGAAGTATGCAAAACAGTTTGCATATGACATGTGGGAGCAGTGTGGGATGAGAGTGGTGATCATGTCAGCATGGAAGGATAAGGATGGTGAAGTGATGGTTGGAGTGTGAGTGCTTTCCTGACAGGCTTCACCATATCTGACCAGTGTAGGAATGACTTCAATGATGAGCTGGGTGATGGAGAGCTCTATTTGGATTGGGAAGACCTTCATGGAAAGTGGTCAGCCTAT